GCCAGTCACATTTGCAGCGTGGAGGAGGCACGCTTTTGGGGAAAGGCGGGAAAAGAAGAAGGGAGCACTGTTAGAGTTAAAATCAACAGCACCAAGGACATCTTTGCTCTTTCTGGAGAGGGCACTTCACAGTCAGCATCCCGGGTGCCCATTGATGGAGTGTGGGTGTATTTGTGTTGGTCCATAGAGTTGTTACACTTCTAATAGGTGAGCCAAAGTGTTATCACTGTGAAAGGACAAGCTTGTTTCATGACACTTCCAAATGCTGTGGAGAACTGACAGTCAGGGTGGTGGGATGTTGGATAGACAGGGTGAATAAATAGGGAATAGGAAGCAAATGAAAATTATAACCTCTGTTTCTCTCTTCCCCTTAACACAGTGGGGTCTGTGAGGCCATTGCACCAGTATTCCTCCATTGCTGGAATTAAGGACATTGCCTTCATGTAAGTGCATAAGATAAGTGCATTGCCTTCAGTAAGGACAGCACACACTTCCTAGCAGAACTGGATTCATGCCTTGTCACCCCTGTAGCTCTTTCTTTTCCATTTTCTACTGTCTTTCATACAGACATCTATGAGAATGATGGTTAAGATGAGCATCAGATTCAACCCAGAAGCCTCAGGCCTTGGGAAGTCAGAGGTGGGTCGTGAATGGGTTTTAGTGCCTGAGATTTCTGGTGTGCTCTGTTCCCATCTGACCAAGGAGCAGCACACTGCAGACTGTCTCACTGCAGACAGGACCTGCCGCAGCTTGGGATCTCAGAGGGCAAACATGAGATATCAGAGACCATAACTGCCTCCCTGTGTAAACTGTTCTTATCTGGAACATGGGGATAGTGCTGCTTGCTTGCATTTACATTAAAATTGCAATAAAAATTAAGCAAACATTATTTCTTTTGTGGTAAAGGCAAGAAAAGGAATGACATTTTAGGTGGACATTTTAGGTCAGTTCTCATTTTGTCTTATGAGACAAATCGCTGCCTGGATACAGCCCTTGAGGCAGCACCAAAAATAGCCAGAACCTACCAGAGAAGAGCTGTGCTGCATCCTGCCATCTGAGGGTATAGCCTGTTGCGCCCAAGGCAGATGTGTGCTCATCTTTTCCCAGTGCACTGCTTATGCATGAGAGCATAGCTGGGAATCTTGGAATGGAAATGGTGGAGGGAAGTATATAGTGAGGTAAGAAAGCCAAAGACAATTTCTTACTTGGAAATCCTGAAGTGAAGCCTGAGTTTAATGGGCAGTTGACAGGAAGGAGGGAGGTGTTGCTGAACCAGCCAGCATCGTGGTTTTCATTGTATGGGCCTGAATGGGCTTAGCTCATTGTGAAGGGCAGATGTTGTCCTTGGAGCCCTTTTATTCCCTGCGTTGTGGGAAAGCCAGGAGACAAGACATCTCATGAACACTTTGAAGCAGTCAAAAGATTATGATACGAAATAAGATACAGCTCAGAAACCATGCCCTAGCTTTTGCCAGCTATAATAAAGTGTTGTCCTTTCTCCTTTATTCTTTCGCTGACCTTCCTTCCAGAAGTTGGTGTCCTGCATTATCCCTTTTCTAGCAAGGGAGCAACGGTGGCAGAAGCTAGGAGCTGACAGGTATGCATGTACCAAGCTGGTTGAAGAGACTCTTCAGTGTCAAAAACCATCTTTTTCCCAACTCCTGAGAAGCAGCCCTGACCTTTATTGCTGTATTATAACTGATAGCCAGATGGTCTTTTGGGAGTTGGATTCTTTCCCTTTAAATTATTCAGGCTCAAGCACCGTCACTAATGTTGTGAGTAGTTGCAAGGCACACTTCTATTGTCCCAACAAGAAATGTTATCAATAGGGGAAAAGTATGGGAAAGGCAGGGAAATTCAAACCCACAGAGCCTGGTGCTAATAACCCCTTTGTGGAGCCTGTGCTTCTGTCAAGGCACGATGAACTCACATGGCTCTTGCAGCAAGTGAGGCTGAAAAGCACGTGTTTCACTGTGCAGGAAGGGGCTTCTCAGAGGTGTGTGTTTACAGGAGGAAGGGGCAGCAAGGGGGGGCCTGGCAGGTATACCCAGCTCAGCAGCAGCACTGGCTGGCCTGGGGGCTGCTGTTTGCTTCACCTGGCCTCAGTTTGCTCTGCTGGGAAATGGGAGCGGTGCTGCTAAACTCTTTCAGAGACCTTTTAGAATCAGGAGCTGAGCCTGTGTCTGTGGTAGCAGTAGGGACAGGGCTGAAGTGGTCCTTGTGCTGTTCTGGCAGCACATGGGGATACTGCTCCGCACCCATGAGAACTAAGAGGAGACAGGATGGTGCTGGGCTCCCTTATAAACTCAGAGGGTGGCCTCTTCTTGCTATCCTGTTCCCTCCATTTGTTGGGAGCCTGGCAGTGATGCTTCTTCCCTTGGATAGCCCTTGTCATCACAGCCACCTGGAGAGCAGGACCAGCAGGTCTGTCCTGCGTGCAGTCTGATCTCCAGTTGGCTTTTGTGTCTTCCTCAGGCCAGCCCATGGATTCCCAGCTCTAGCATTGCTAAAGGCTTACTTACACAGGTAAAATAGAAGGCTTTTTAGGACCAAGCTAGCTCTGGTCTCGCTTTCATGGGTAATGGGCTAGTGGCAGCATCCCTGAGGAAGACAGTAGCAATGAGAACACCCATCAGTTCCCAAGTGCTGACACATCTGCATGGAAATAGTTATCTTCGAATGCTTGGTGAAGCTATTGGCTCTGCATCCTGTGCCGCACACCATGCTACTGCTGTGGGGACATGTCCTAGCCTTTCAGATTCCTGAAATAGAGCACCACAAATCCGGGCAGTATTTACCACATCCCTTCATCATCCTCATACTCTTATGACTTGCTCTGTGGAGGTTTCTGGGTAAGGTTTGAAAAGGCAGGGTGCTGCCTGAGGTGAACCCCAATCAGCCTCTGGTGGTTTTAGTTCACAAGCAACTGCTTCCTTTGGTGTCCCAGATGACAATGCCTTCTCCCAGCCCACACATGCACTGTGTGCTCAGGTGTTTCAGTGCTACTGCATTCCACACAGTACGTACTCTGAAAAATTGCTTGGCATGGGAGGAAATTTGTAAAGAAATTATCCTGCAAGACTTGCTAATCTCTCCCGCTCGCACAAGCCAAGTGAACCAATGGAGTGGAAGTGTAGTGCAGTCTGCCTCTCTCAGGGGAAAGGGTTATGTTGTTGTTAGACTTTGGTATAAAATATTCCGTTAAATGTCACTAGCGTGGCATTATCTTGCCTCCTTTGGACACTAGAACCCGGGCAGAAAGGGGTCTTTTATTACTGTAAAGTACATTCCTCACAGGTTGAACCGTTTTTAATTAGTTTTCTTTAGATCCAGAATGCTCCATGTACTGCCATTCCCAGGTGCCCAAGTGAAGGCAAGTGGACTTTGATCATTAAGAACCATATGAGACAATTTGATCTGCATTTGTTAGAGGCCAAAGCAATTTCTGTCGCTGCCTGTGTGGGTGACCCAGAAGTAGTCATGCACCACTGACACAGTCTTCCTACAGTGAGTATTACAAATAATTAAAAATTAAGGAGAATTTATTATTTTTCTGCCCAGCTGAAATTCCCACAAGTCACCTCTCAGCATATTCAGGAGTGCACAAGAGGGATTTATTATTTCCTGGTATATTGACTCTGAAAGGTCTGGGGATTACAGCTGCTTTGCACATGAATAGCTGGAGTGTGTTGTACAAAAGGCATGGTCTGTGGGATAATGGGGTTGGATGTGGGAAAGCGCTGACCCTGGGGGAGAGCAGGCTGGTGCCTGATGGCAGGAATCAATTATGTCTCAAAGGAACACATTGCCCTGGGAGCAGGCTTTGCAGGAACCACCATGTTATGTGTTTACCACCCTCCTCCTTCAAAAACCTATATAAACCAACCACAGAATATATCCTCTCCTGCTTTTACTAGGGGACTTGGCTACACCGTGCTCTGTAGTGATGCTTTTTTTTCCTTACTTTTTGATTATTGAGCATTTGGACTTTGTTCAGGTTGGTACCTTTCATTTTCTCTATAGAACCATGAGGCTTGGACGTGAAGTCTTAATGAAGGCCATAAGTATTGTGTGTCTCATGACAAAAATCACAAGACTTACCAACTAGTGCTGCCAAGCATTTTGGCAAGGAGAAGGCATCCTGCAGAGAGAATAGCAGGTTGAGAATTGGGAGTGTGGTTTCTGAGGTCTAGCCCCAACAGCCACTTGCTATCATTGACAAGATGGGAATGGGGTGTTCGTGCCAGATAGGAGAGGAGTCACCTCTTCCCTTACAGGAGCAGCAATTGATCCTATCTACGTGTGTCAGCTATTGAATCACTCAGCTCTAGCGAGGGCAGCGCTGGAGAGGGGAAGTAATGGTGACAGACTTGCCTGGCATCCCCTGAGCCTCATCTGATTGTTCCCTACCTTGGACCAGTATGGCTCCTTCCTCATTTCTGAGTCACTGGTTTTATCCAAGCCAAGAGTCTAGGGCCTGAAGTTCCCTTGGAAACTCAGAGTTCGCGTAATTCAGGGTACACTGCATCCTCCCCTCCTCAGAGCTCCAGTCCCAGAATAACCATAACCACTGGGAGGCAGCTGGTCAGAATTTGATGGTGCT